TGGTGGGAGGGTGGATGGGTGGACAGAATGGGTGGGTGGATGAAGAACAGGTGGATATGTGGCTGAGTGGATGGATGGGGAATGGGTGGATAGATAGGTGGGTGGATGGATGGATGGGTGGGTGGGTGGGTAGGTAGATGGATAGGTGGATGGATGGGGAATGGGTGGATGGATAGGTAGGTGGGCAGATGAATGGGTGGGTGGGTAGGTGGGTAGGTGGATGGGTGGGTAAGTGGATGAATGGATGGGTGCATGGATGGATGGGTGGATGGGTGGGTGGATGGATTGGTAGGTGGATCCCTAAGCAAATGAGTGGGTGAGTGAATAGATGAATGGAGGAAAGGTAAAGAAGAGAGGGAGAGAATTAAGGAGGTAGAGAGGAAGGCAAGTAGATGGCTGTCAGCTGGCGGGTGGATTGCAGTAGCCTGTGCTCTCTACTTCACCTCCAGTAATCTAACCCTGAATTCTCTGCTGCTTTCTCCCCCAAGCATCCCATGCTCTCCCACCTGCACACAGCCTTAGCCCCACCTGGCCTCTGCTCTCTAGACTCCCTGCTCCCTTTCACTGCCCACACTGGTCCTTCAGGCATGAGTGCCTGCCAAGTCTCTCAAGCCCACCGTGGCTCCCCACTGCCACCTCCATGCCAGGGCCTGAGCTCTTTCCCAGAACCAAAGCCCCTTCTATCCTGGCTCTTCCCGGGAGACCAATCAGGCACACCTGGGGTTCCTGCACCAACTCCTCTGTGCTAAGGGTGTGGCTGAGGGGTGGACGGTGCAGACACTCATGCCCGCCCCCGCCCCCAGCCTGACCCTGTTTGCCAAAATCTGCGAGAAGACAGTGCTGAAGCGGGTGCTGAAGGAGCTGTGGAAGCTGGTCATGAACACCATGGAGAAGACCATCGTACTCCCACCGCTCACTGACCAGACGGTGAGCCCTAGTGAGACAGGGATACCCAGGCCCATTGGGCAGCCCAGAGCTCAGCTTCCAGGCTGGGGTCCAAGGCACTGGCTCAGAGAGGGCATCCAGATGAAGGGCTACCTGCGGGTGACTGGGGCCACCAGAGGTCATTCATGGGCCAAGGATCATCAGCAGGAAGCCAGGCATGGTGGCACATACCTCAACAGCAGGGAGGCTGAGGCGGGAGGCTGAGGCAGGAAGATCTAAATAAGTTCGAGGCCAATCTGGGTTCCATAGTGAGTTCAGGGCCAACCTGGAAGATGGAGGAGACCAAGCAAAACAAAACAAAAAAACAAACAGAATCATCAGAGGGTTGAAAGGTCCTTCATGGTTCGGGGTCATTTCACTGGGATTACTCTTAAGATCATAGGTCAAATCGAGTCTGATAAGAGGCTGATAAGACGCAGCGAGGTGACGGTTGGGCCCAGGATCATTCAGAGGTCACAGATCACCTGGAAAACAGGTCAACTTGGGGGTCAAGGTCACCACAGTCTTGGGGTTCGAAGGCTCCTCAGAGAGTCGTGGGGTCACTTGAAAAAAGGAGAAATTAGCCACCCACCAAGCAGAGGGTTCTTGGGGGTCAGCCAGAGGTTACAGAGAGGTCAGGGGAGCAAGTAGAAGCCAGTGGCGCTGTGAGACCCTTCAGGGCCTGCTGGGGGGCCATTGTCCTGGCAATGGCGGTGGCCCAGGCTGAGCGGGGAGGGCGTGCAGTAGGACCCCTCCGCTGGGCAGGGCTGGGCAGGGCAAGGCAAAGATGGGCAGGGTCGGGTGTCTGCTCCTCCTTCCATCCACGCCCCTCCCCCGCTGACACTCACTGTGCCTTATTCCCCCCACCGCCCCCCACCGGCTGACAGATGATCGTAAGTAGAGGCGTCTGTCCCTCCGTCCGTCCGTCCTTCTGTCCGTCCGTCCATTCGTCTGTCTGTCGTGCTCTGTGTCTGGACCCGCCTGTGCGGAGGCCTCCAGGCCTGTGTGTCGGGGGCGGGGCCAGGCGGAGCCACACCCATGCCACACCCTTTCGCTTGTTGGGGGGAGGCTCGTGGGCTCCAAGCGAGGTCCCCAGGCCACCCTTCCCCCTGCTCAGCTCCTGGGGTTCCCCAAGCCGGCGATGCCTGTGGTCAGGGACCCTGTGTTGGTGTAGACTCGGTCCTTCCCAGCCCATGCGTTCCCTGGCCTCCTAACCTCCCCCGCCCACCCGGGAATGGGGTTCCTCACAGCCGGTGATGGAGGTGGTCAGCGTCCAGAAACAGGCACCGCCACCCCGGAAGCCGCTTGGGGCAAGCTCCGGGGGTGACAGGACATGCCGGGTGGGGTGTGCAGCGCTCTGTCACTCAGCGCAACACCTGGTATCCACGTGCAGGAGTTCACGGCGCATCTGGGCTATGTGCACACGCTGGGAGGCTGAGGCAGGAGGACTAAAGTTCGAGTTCAGGCTGAGCAGTTTAGCAACACAGCAAAACAATCTCAAGAATTTTTTTTAAAAGTTCAGAAGGCTGCAGATGTAGCTCAGTGTGAGGGCCCAGATTTCAAGCCCCAGTATCACAATTTAAAAAAAAACAAAAACATTTGTGAATGGCTGTGTGTACACAGGTCTTCTCCTAGCAGCCCTTCCAGGTCACCTTTGTGGGAACCCCAAGAGCAAGGCAGCACGCGTGTTCCTGTTTTGTAGATGATGAAAGCTAAGCCTGAGCCACCCATTTTCAAGCCGATGGAGCACAGAGGTGTGAGGGTGGAGATTCAGACTCAGGTCTGGTCCAACACAGAGGCATTTTGCTTTCCTGTTGGCCCAAGAGCTAAGCGCTTCACATGTACAATAAATACAAATGGGTTAGGTTTGGGCAGTGGCTTCGCTTTCCGGCTCTCTCTGGCCTCTCTCTCCCCCTCCACCTCCTCTTCTCCCTGTCCCTGACTCTTACACCTTTAAGACTCAACCACTAAGTCCCCCACAGTCCCCCAGCGGTCACCCTTGTGCACCAGGCCCTGTTCCCCGTGAGCACAGAGGCACATGACCCGTCGGGCTGACCTCCCTGTGACATTGTCTCTGCAGGGCACCCTCTTGAGAAAGCATGGCAAGGGATTAGAAAAGGTAATGAGGCCTCGAGTTGCCGAGGTCCCACCATGGCATTGGGTGTGAGTGTGAACACGTGCATCTGTGGGTGTGTGTGGGTGTGCATAGGCCCAGGCACGAAGTGTCGGGTGGGCTCATGGTAGGGCCAGGCAGGACTAGTGCACGTGTGAGTGAAAGTGTGCGCAGCGCCTGCCACTGGCAGCCACAGCCAACGCTGCTTGCTGCATGGACGCAGCCAGTCTGTGTCCGTGGTATGTGCAGAGGCCCGGATGCTTGTTCTGTGTGTGGGTTTGCTGCCTGTTGTAAGGGGTGTTCGTCTCGAGGAGATGGGAGCTGGGGCTGCACATGCACAGTTGCCGTCCCGTGCACTGAGACACCGTGCACCTCTGTGAGCTGCCAGTTTGGCCCCCTCCTCGTGCTGCCAGCCCCAGGGGGCATTCAGTGTGCCCAGTGCTACCCATATGCCTGCATCCCAGCAGGGTGAGGCTGCGCATTTATGTGTGTGATTGAGCACATATGCGAGTATGTGTTGCGTGTATTTTAGTATGTGTATGATCTGTGATGGTCTGAGCGTGCAAGTTGCATGTGTGACATGCCTGAGTGTGTTCATACATGGTGACCCAACTTGCGGTGCCATCTGGACATTTTCAGGGTGGGAGAGGAGAGAGAGGCCCGATGCAGGCCCCATGGGGGTACAGGATGCTGCCCAACTGGGGAGGGCACAAGTGCTAGGCAGGATGGGAGGGCGCTCATGGAGGGCACTGGGGCTCTGTTTGGAGGGCAGGGCCGCCCCACTGTCCCCCAGGCCTCCAGGACTCTGACCCCCGCTGGTTCTCTCCACAGGGCAGGGTGAAACTGCCAAGCCACTCAGACGTAAGCCCGGCCCCCATGTCTGTCTGGCCGCCCCTGTCCCACACCTCTGTGGTCCGTGCCGTCGACCCTGTCTGTCACTTCTTCCTCCTCTGTCTGTCTGGCTTGCTCGTGGGGAGGGCGGGCAGGGCAGAGGGTGCCTAGGGACTAGGCATAGGTGGGTGGGTGCAGCAGGGAAACTGAGGCCCACGCAGCCAGGCTCTGGGTGACTGAGCCTCGTAACACGTCAGGGGTCACAGGAAATCATAGCACAGGGCTGGGTTGCAGCTCGAAGCAGAGCATTTGCCCAGCCATATGAAGCCCTAGGCTTCACCTCAACGCTGCAATAACAAGGACAGCAGCAGCCGGGTGGTACTGACAGTGACCACAGGAGAGGCTGGTTGTGGATCGCGTCATCCCAAATGTCCCGCCGGCCCGCAGCCCCCACCCAGAGCTCCCAGGCCCCAACGCCCAAGCTAACACAGTCCCATCAGCCAGGGATGCGAGGAGATGGGGCTGGGGCTCCAGTCTCTCTCTGTGACCTGGACAGAGCAGCAATCACAGCAAGTGCTGCATAAAGATGGAGCCACAGAGTAGATATGAGGTCCCATTTAGATGGGGAAACTGAGGCTCAGAGAAATTAAGTAATTTGCCAAGGGCAACAAAGCTGAGCTGGGCTTTGAGCCCAGACCCACCTGACTGGCCAGAGCTGGAACCATGTTGTCAGGTTGTGGGGGTCTGTTTGGGGGATAGCAGGGGTGGGGCCGGAGAGGATGCTGCCATTTAAAATCATACTTGATCCTCCCTCACTGGGGATGGCCTGGGGCCTTTGCTGAAGCCTCGAGCACCCTAACTCAAGCTCTCCCCCACTCTCACCCTATCTGGGGTCCCACACACACAGCCCAATCAACTGTGCTTCTTGGTCCTTCAAGCCCAGGGTCATGGTGGGGGTGAGTCGGCAGGGAGTCCCCACTTCCCAGAGGCCCCAAACCTCTGTGCCTCAGAAAAAAACAGTCCCACCCAGAACCTTGGGACAAAAACCAAGATGGCGCCAGGGCGAGGGTGTGGTGGACGGCTGGGGACCAGGTGAGGGGAGCCCGCCATCATGTCGCTACACCTTTTTTCACCTGCAGGGAACCCAGATGATCTTTAATGCAGCCAAGGAGCTGGGCCAGCTCTCCAAACTCAAGGTGAGGCGGGAGTGGGTAGGGGAAGGGGGAGACCCTGGACCCTGAAAGGAAACACGCTCAGCTGGCTCCCAAGACAGAAGCCGTATGCTTGGGCTTATGGCACAGTTTATTTACTTCAGCATCTTGGGGAAAGGAACTTGGTTCAGCTTCAAGTACAGTGGGATCCGGGTCCAAGTCACTCATGGACAGCATTGCAGGGTGCCCTGTGTGCCCACACAGGCTGGGTGCTGGGATCTGACAGACCCCAGGCCAGCTCTCTCAATGGGGTGGTGCCCACCTGGCCTCTCTCCCACCCAGGACCACATGGTACGAGAGGAGGCCAAGAGTCTGACCCCGAAGCAGTGTGCAGTGGTTGAACTGGCCCTGGACACCATCAAGGTGAGAGGCGGGGTGAGCAGAGCCCAGCCCTGGGGTGGATGTCCCTGGGCTCGCTTTGGACCCACACTGACTCCTTCAGTTTATAGCATTTCTTGACCCTCTTCTGAGCCAATACTGGGTTTAAGGAGCTCCAGGCTAGGGGAGACTGCTAAGTACCAGCACCCCCAGTCTTGTCAGGTCAAGTCTGGGGTTGAAGGAAAGATCGGGGTTGGGTGAGCCCAGAGAAGGGCAGCAGAGGGTTTTCTGGAGGAGGGCATGGGGAAGAGGGTTTTGAAGAATACACAGGAGTTCACCAGGCAAAGCCAAAGGGCAGGAGCCAGGAAGAGCCTTTCCACCAGCAGGCACAGTAAGGACAAAGGTGCTGAGTAGGGACATCGGCCGAGGAGGCTGGGCAAGAGTAAGGGGGGGGGGGGAGTACTTCTCCAAGAGTGCTGGGAGCCCTGGCAGGTTTGGAATGCAGGAGGGGGTGAAGCAGCTCTTCTGGGGCTTCACCTCCCCCACTCGGTGGCCGACAGCAATACTTCCACGCGGGGGGCGTGGGCCTCAAGAAGACCTTCCTGGAGAAGAGCCCGGACCTGCAGTCTCTGCGCTATGCCCTGTCGCTCTACACGCAGGCCACCGACCTGCTCATCAAGACCTTCGTGCAGACGCAGTCGGCGCAGGGTGAGCGCAGGCCCCCGCACCTCACTACCCTGCACCGCCCTCTGTGACTACTGGGTGGGCAACCGCGAATGTGGGCAGGGGTTGACATCAGGATGAGGTGGTGATTGACAGTCTCAGGAGGGACCTTTCCGACCACAGGCCCTGGTATGATGGAAAACTCCCGGGGGTGGAAACCCTGACCGCGTAGGCCAGCGAGGCGATGCTCATCTGAGGGCACAGTCCTTGATTTCTAGACCCAGGCAGGAACGGGAGTGACTGACAGCTCCAGGGGCGGGCTCTCTGAGACGTAGGAACTGCGGGATGATTGACGGTGGTGGGTGGGCGGGCCCCCGGAGCTCTGGGCCAATGATAGGTGGGTAGTCCAGAGGGCGGGATGCTAAGAGGGCACTCCTGTTTGTCAAACTCGCGCTTTCTCTCTGTCCGTTTGTCTCACGTCCGCTGCATTGACGCGCAGCAGCAGGGCCTAGGCCCCCCGCTTGGGGAGCCCCTGTTCCGAGCTGGCCCCCCCGGGCATAGGAAGCTCCGACCCGCGGCCACTTTCTGGGACGTGCCTCAGTTTCCCCGGCGTCCCGGCGCGGGAAGTGTCCGTTGTGCGTCCGCATCCCCGCTGACGTTTCTCTTCTCTCTTGTTTTTCCTCCCTGTCGCTGGCTGTCCCGGCCCCCGCCCCCCACGCACGCCCCCTCCTCCCCTCGCTGCCCTCACCCGCCCCTCCCGCCCCGTTAGTCCACGGTGGCAAGGGAACTAGGTTTACCCTTAGCGAAGACACTTATCCTGAGAAGGGTACGTGCCCGCCGCGCCCGGTGCCCGGTGCCTGTGCCCCTGCCGGCCGCTAGTAGAAGGCTGTCCTTCCCGCGGCCCGCAGGGCAAAGGGAGGCTTGCTGGCTCCACGTAGGGCAGGAGCCCCGCCAGGTGCACGCCCTCTCTCCCAGATAGGCCCTATCTGGACCCAGGCCTGGCCTGAGAGCGCATGCCTGGCATCCTAGTACCATAGCAGGCTGAGGCAGGAGGATCCTCAAGTTCAAGCCCAGCCTGGGCAACTAAGTGACTTACTGAGATGTTGTCTCCAAAGATAAACGAGAGGGATGCAGCTCAGTGGGGAGGTCCTAGGGTCATTCTCCGGAATACAGAGAGAGAGAGAGAGAGAGAGAGAGAGAGAGAGAGAGAGAGAGCGCTAGACCCAGATACTGGCCTGGCCATTTTGCACGCTGGGCACTGCTGGACAAGAATCTGCTTCCCTGGGCCTTAGTGTCCATTTATGTAGAAGAGACAGGCAAGAACCCTCCTTCACAGGATTCTTTTCAGTATAAGAGGGATTAAAATTAGAATAACCAGGCCTGGTGTTGAATACCTCTAATCCCAGCACTCGGAAGGCTGAGGCACAAAGATCACTCCTAGTTCAAGGCCAGCCTGCTCGGGATACATAGGGAGACCCTGTTGCAAAAAAAACCTAAATTAATACATTAATGAATTTGGAGCAATCCTGGCACATGGTGAGCTCAGAGCAATTGTTATATTCACTGTCATGTGTTTCAGAGTAGTACACAACTAACATTTCAAACTCTGATTCCAAGCCAGACCCAGTGCCATGGGTTTCTTGAGTGGTCGCCAAGGAATTTTTCACAGCCAGGCATGATGCCTGTTATCCCGGGACTCTGGGAGGCTGAGGCAGGATGGTCTGGACTTTGAGGCCAGCCTGGGCCACTTAACCACTTGGTGAGACCCTGTCTTCCAAGAATAAGTTTGAAAAGGGCTGGGGACACACACAGCTCAGGGCTTAATCCCCAGTATTGCAAAATTACAGAGATAAGTACTTTCGAACAGTGCAGGGAGGACACCCACCACTGCGCACACGAGACAGCTGAGGATCGAGGAGGCAGAGCCACTTGCCCAGGACGGGAGTGGGGTAGGGGGTTGGGGATCACAGCCACCCAGGAGAGAGCATTCCCCGTGGAGCCAGCAAACCCTGGGAAGGGGCGCAGCGCTGCCTCTCGCCTTCTCACTAGCCTTGGCCTTGGTCTGACCTCTCACCCGACCCCACTCTAACCGGCACCCCAGTCTGGCCCGGATTGAGCTTGCTATGAAGCATCGGCCTTGCGGGAGGGCAGGCTGAGCATGCAACGGTGGGGCGGGAGCCTGAGATGAGGAGGAAGGCAGCTAGGGTGGGCGGCGACCCTGGCAGACCCAGTCTGGGGGACGTAGTCTCCCTCTGCGCCTGACCCTCAACCACTTCCTGTCCATCGCGGTAATGCAGACCAACCCTTCACTGACCTGTCCCCACCCCCCACCTTCAACTCGTCCCTGTTCCTGCCCTCTGCATGGGGTGTTCTAGGAGTGGGGCGCTGCCTGGGGGCAGGGGCGGGCTCATGGAGGTGCTAGTGGCCACGGGTTCACAGTCCCCAACAGGACTACTCAGGACACTTAATTGTGGTCAGAAAGAGAAGTGAAAATCACAGTGACTCAAACCAACAAGAAAATCTGAGGGCTGTGGAACTGAAAGCTCCAGGATGAATTGGCATTAGGAGTAGCTAGATCCAGTCTCCAACAGGGCCATCACATCTTGTCTCCACTGGTCATTGGTCTCTATGGAACCCCCATGGGAGCCAGCTCACTCACTATTCCTAGTTGGAGAGAGCACACCCACACTTCCTTAAATAACAGCCGAAGCGCAACTCAATTGCTATTGGTCCAGTTTGGGTCACATGACTATCTCTGAGCCAATCCCTGCAGCCACAAGCAGGGTCTACTCTTGATTGGATACTGCGTTTCCTTTAGTGAGGAACACCGCAATAGAGTTCACACTCTCTGGCTTATCAGTCTGAGGCGAGCTTGTGAATCTTTATCACAAGGGCAAACAAGATTCCCTAACGAAGTGTCACTTCAGGAGAAATGTAGATCTTTGGCCCAATGAGCAGTGTTTTTGTTAAAGGAACCCCAGGGGACTGCATTGAAAAGAAAAGGAAGGCAGATGCATTGGGCCCAGAGAGGTTAACACATCACACAACAACACAGTGAGAAGCCAGACCCCACAGGACACTTAATTGTGGCCAGCAATGGAAGAACTTCCCAGGAGCTCCTAGCAGCCCAGTCCTGCTCAGCACCTCCCTGCCGGGGCTGATGACCTGGTGCCGCTAGCACAGGGTGGGCGGGAGGCGGGCCAGGGCTCTGCTGGGCGCGGGAGAGAACAGAGCTCACGTCGGGCCATCTTTCCCACCCCACCCAGGCTCGGGTGTAGAAGACCCTGTAGGCGAAGTTTCTGTCCATGTTGAGCTCTTCACTCACCCCGGAACTGGGGAACAAAAGGTCACGGTGAAAGGTGAGTAGCCCGACGGGATAGGGGCGACTGCATGACATACAAAAAGCAGGATCAAACCGACTAGAAAGAAATTGTGTTACTGCTTCTGGCTTTCACTTTTTGTTTGTTCATTTAATTACTTGTTTATTTTGGCTTTCACTTTTTAATGATTCACAAAACTGGGAAGACCAGAGGTGAGCCCATTGTAGCAATGGCTGGATCCAAGGAATCTTTTTTTTCTTGGGGGCGGAGGTTGTTTGTTTTGGGGGATTGTCGCTGCTGTCTTCTATGTTTTTGTCTCAAATGTTTTCATTCCTCTAAAAGTCCCAAAGAATACTGCAGACTGCAGCAAAAAAGAGAAACTTTGAGGCATGCTCCCTTACTTTTAAACCAGTTGTAGGTGTCCTTTCCTCTCATACCTCATTGTGTGAAAGTTGGTCACATGACTGCACTAAGGCAGACATGCTGGGAAATATAGTCCGTTTCAGACCAGTTTAGAAAAACCACAGATGGCCTAATGTGGTGGCACATGCCTGTGATCGCAGCACTCTGGGGACTGCTTCAGTTCATGGCTATCCTAGGCTACACGATGAAACCCTGTCTCAAAATGAAAAACAACCATAGATGTCTACTTCTGTCATGCTGAGCAATCCTGAACCAGCTTTCCCTCCATGTCCCACCAGTGGTGGCTGCCAATGACCTCAAATGGCAGACTTCTGGCATCTTCAGACCATTCATCGAGGTCAACATCATTGGGCCCCAGCTCAGCGATAAGAAACGCAAGTTCGCCACCAAGTCCAAGAATAACAGCTGGGCGCCAAAGTACAACGAGAGCTTCCAGTTGTGAGTCAGGGGTGCGTGGGAGGTGTCTGGGGAGAAAGGTGCGTCTGCTAGGTGGAACCCAGGGCTACCCAGCCCTGAGAGGTGCCTGACTGTGCCCCAGAAGCAGAGGCAGGAGCCACCTCTACAGGGAGATGCCCAGTGCAGGAAAGACATCCGGGAGGGGACATGGGTGGGCTAGGTGGTGCCCAGGGGAGGAAGTGAAAGGGGTATTATTGCGGGGATGGAGAAGAGACAAAAACAGTCCTGAGATGTGGGTCTGCTGCAAGGTGGGAGTTAGAGTGGGCTTGGCAGAGCCTAGATTGGACGGTGAGTTGCCAGGGGATAGGGTGGGCCGAGCCTAGTAGGAGATTCCGGAGTGGGATAACTGCAGTGGCAGTGGCTCAGTGTGGGGCAGCAGGGAACCAGCCGAGTAGCTAAGATACAGGGCAGGGCCTGGGGGCAGACCCTGCTCATGCACTGCCCCTCTGCCCCAGCACGCTGAGCGCTGATGTGGGTCCTGAGTGCTACGAGCTGCAGGTGTGTGTCAAGGACTACTGCTTCGCGCGCGAGGACCGCACGGTGGGGCTGGCCGTGCTGCAACTGCGAGAGCTAGCCCAGCGCGGGAGTGCTGCCTGCTGGCTGCCGCTCGGCCGCCGAATCCACATGGATGACACGGGTCTCACGGTGCTGCGCATCCTCTCGCAGCGCAGCAACGACGAGGTGGCCAAGGAATTCGTCAAGCTCAAGTCGGACACGCGCTCTGCTGAGGAGGGCGGCGCCACGCCTGCGCAGTAGCTTGGGGGCGCCGAGCGGATGTACCGCTCCTGCGCAGGGTGGACTTACCGGGAGGGGACTGCGCCTGCGCCCTGGGCGAGTCCCCCCCCCACCAGAGAAATGCGCGAAGGAAGCCCCGCCCCCTGGGGAGCCCATCCGGGACATTGAAGGAAGAAGCCACATGCCCCTCCCTGAAGCCACGCCCCCACCACCCAGGGGCCTTTCATCCGGCTAGGGCTGGTCGCGTCCCATCCCCTGGAAAAGCCATAGACGGTCCCAGCCCGCCAGAGACCGAGGCCCATCGCCAAGCACGGAGCTCAGCCCCGCGCGGGCGGCGGGGCGAGCAGGGCTTCCGGCAGAGGCGGCGGGGCTGATGTTTTGTGCAAAACATAGGGGCAGGGAGAGGAATTCAAAAGCACACGCGCCCTTGGGTGCCCCGACCCTGGGCTGGGTGGCCCTAGGGCGCCCCATCTCTTGTGGGGTTCGCCCCATCCCTTGTGGGGTTTGCCTCCCCGAGACCCCGGTCCAGCCCATGTGCCGGATGCCAATCCTGAGGCCCATTTTCCCAGTGCCATGGCCCCTGCGGCCCCAGGCCCGAGCTCCCAGTCGGCTCCCCGTTGCTGCTAACCCCAAAGCCCCAAGTTTTCCCGGGCTGGGCCGGGGCATCCGCAATCCTCTGGCTGCTGAGCCAGATGCCCACCCTCGGCCTTTCTCCCTGACCTCCCAACAAGAAAGTGAGGGTTGGGGTTCCCATGGCCCCATCTCTTCTTCCTTTCCTAGAATTCTTCAGGCAGGAAGGAGCCGAAAGAGACCAGAAATGATGTGTGTGCTCAGTGTGCACCTTGCCGGATGAGGGCGAGATTGTGCTCAGAACTTCCCCTGCCACCCCACATGGGCACTGGGCTCTGGTTCGTGGGGGGAGAGGGGATCGCTTCCTCCGGCGCACCCAGGGTCCCTGCAGGAAAGCTCAGTGCAGCCTCTGTGCCCACCTCTGCTGCTCCACCCGGACCCCAAGCGAGCTGGCTGAGAAAGAATAAAATGGGGCAGATGGCACTGGACCCCTGGGGCCGGATTCTGCAGGGCCTTCCCAGGGCCAGCAGGCGAGGGGGTGACTGGAGAGGCTGATTCAGGGGAGGTGCGGTCCTGAGGCCCTCCAGGATTCCGGCTTTGCATGCTCTGAGGTGGTTTTTGTTTGTTTGAGTTTTTTTGGTTGGTTTTGTTGTTGGTTTTTGTTTTTTTTTTCGTTCTAAGATGATCAGGGAGCTCCACTTTTTAAAGCTGAGAGAGCCTAGATTCCGGGATCCAAAAGCTGTCTGTGGAGAACAGATCGATGAGAGGGACAGTGTGCCGGGGGCACTGAAATTGGTTCGGTGACGCTTTCAGAGGTCACTGGCAAGAAAAGAAAAATTCTGAAGGGGGCTGGGGAGATGGCTCAGTGGAATAAGAGCTTCCCTGGCAAGTGCAAGGGCCTGAATTCAATCTCCAGTTCCACAAAAAAAAAAAAAGAAAAAGAAAAATTCTGCCCTTAGCTGGGCCACAGGGGCCTGGCTGTGACTGACTGGGCTCTAGGCTTTAGCTTCTCTTAGAAGGCTGTCCGCACAAGCTAGGCTTGGAGTGGCACATGTTGGTGGCTGTGGTTTCCTGACGCTTTAGTGGCAAACGTCTAGAAGAAATGCCATTCCCTGTGCGCATATTTGCTCCACAGTCCCAGAGTCCAGGATGGGTCAGGTGATCCAAGTCCTAACCCAGAGGGCAGGATGCGAGTTCTCCTGGGTTCGGGACTTCCAGGCGCCTCCAGGGCAAGGGATTTGGAGCCTCTGTTAACGAGACCTCAGAAATCCAGGCCATTTAGGGGTGAGGAAGGGTAGGGTGCCAGAGCTGAAAACACCAGAAACACTGGGGGCTGGAGCTCAGGACAGGGAGCGGCTGGGAGCTGAGTTGCCAGGAACAGTGAGCATAATTCCCAGAGATTTCTTAGGAGTCTTTTGGGTCAAGTCCCCCAAAAGCGCACCCGTGTTTGTGTGTGTGTATGTGCATGTGTTTCTCCAGCACCAGTGCAGGCTTCTGGAGTGAGTTTAAGGGGGTGTTTGTTGAATGAATTTTCCTGACTCCCAGTTTAGAACTGCTTTTGAAATTTCCTCCCCCTTTTCTTTGCCCAGAGAACTCCTACTCATTCGCCAAAGCCCATTGCAAAAGTCCCTTCCTATAGGAGACCATCCCTCTGTTCCTCAGGAATGCCTACTCCTATCCCCTCCAGTCCAATCCTGATGCTAGAAGACCCGAGAGTCATTGTCTGGCGCTTTCTCCAGGGCCCAACCAGGGCTTCTCGGGATGGTGGGAGGTTGTGTTGGGCAGGAGAGTGTCAACATCCTCTTACTGGGTCTCCACAGACCTGAGGCCCCCCAGATAGCAGGCGCTCTCACGTGGGGTGCAAGGGCTCAGAGAGGTGGAGGTTGCTGGCAGCTTGAGAGGAGGTGCCCTGGAGAGCATCAGGGCTTCCCCAGCTCTGGGCCTGCTGTGTGTGGCATTGGTCTTTCCAGGTGGGCTCAAACTTCCTGGGGTCCAGGGAGGGTAAGAGTGTGAGAGAGACAGGGAAGAAGAGAGAGGCTGACACAGGGCACCGAGCCAAAGCCGGCTCCCAAGAGGATGGGAAACCAAGAAGAAGGGCCAGGTGGAGAGCTGTGTGGGTGGAGATGTCCGGGGGGAGGCTGATACAGGAGGGCTGAGAGGACCCAGAGCTGCTGCTGCTCGGTGCTTGCCACCAGGAGATGCCAGCTGCACCCTAGTCCCGGCCAAGGCCAAGTCCCCACCCCATCAGACACGCAAAAAACTCGACCCCAACCGGAAGCCCTCGAGCTTCTGTGCAGGCTCTGGGGCCCACGCTGTCCCGCGTGTCCACCCTGTGGGTGGGGGCCAAGGTTCGAGGGTCACAGCCTTTCTTAAGAATCGTTAAGGACCAAAGTCGTCTTTGCTGACAGCTGTTGCTTTTCTCTTCGCCTTTTTGGTGGTGTCAGGTGAGACCCACCCTCACCTGCAGTCACGGCCGGCCATGTCCCACCCAGACCGGGCTCTGTGGACCCCGCCTGCCCCGCATGTGATTGCAATGTGAACTCACCTTGTCTGCTCTCTGTGTCCTTCTGTTTTTCTTTGCCCTGTCCGTTGTCCCAAGATGCACTCATTTCCCTGTAAATACACGACTTGGGACGCAAATTCAGAGCAAATGACAAGTGCTCATGAATGCATGGTGTTGAAATGTTTTGCACTACTCTGACTTTGACTTTTTGGTCTCTGTAAAAATATTTTATTAACAGCAGACATTAAAAAAAAAAAAAAAAAGCACACAGCCTTAGGTGTATGGTGACCTTTGAGGGTTCCCAAGTCATGGACACATCAGGGCCAGGCTTGGTGAGGCTGAGGCAGAAAGCCTGCCAAATGTGGCCAGCCAGAGACATCTAGCACGACTGTGAGGGTTTTTTGTTTGTTTGTTTGGGGGGGGGGGGGTTGGCGGAACCGAAGATTGAACTCAGGTCCTTGCACTTGCTAGGCAAGCGCTTATTCTACTGAGCCATCTCCCTGGCCCCCATCTACCAAGACTCTCAAAAGTCCTCAGGCAGGCTCATGACCCAAGGACAGCAGGAGAAGCTCTGAATACCATCTCCATGGACTGTATGAGGTTCACACTGACAGAACCTTTCAATCATTCATGATGGTTGCACTGATCACATTACACCTGTCGCCAACATGATGACACGCAGGAATGGGTGCAGGGTGACATTGCCCCAGCACTTGTCACTTGCAGCATATAGCCCAGTTGTCCAACGCCCCTTGAGACTGGGGACAGCCTGCATCACATAGCCCCAGGCATATTCCACGGCCCAAGGGACAGAGCCTCCCCATGCCCTGCTCCTGCTTCTGCGCCAGTAGCCAGGAGTGGAAACAGTGGGTGTTTCAGGGTTGGCACCTGAGGCCTAGTGGGCTTGGAAAGGCTGGCTCTGTGCATGGACATGCTCTCCTGTAGACCTGACTCAGCCCCACTGCTGTGCCTGGAATCTGCAATCTGGCTCATTAGAACAGAAGAAAGACCAGCTGTATAGGTGGTGCATCCCTAGAATCCCAGCACCCCTGGAGGGTAAAGCAGGGGGATCGCAGACTTCATTCCAGCCTGAGGCTCTGTCTCAAAATAATTTTCAGAAGCACTGGGAAGGCAGCTCCATGGGAAGGCCCTGGGCTCAGTCCCCCATACAGAGGGCAAAAATAAAGAAAAAGGTTGTCATGCTGGTGACATGTGTCATGTGATTACATTCCAAATGAAATCCAACTTCAAGATTCCAAGCTACCACCCCACATTGGTCTGGGCACAAGGCTGGCTGAGCTGTTTTACTGTTTTGTTTCCAGTGCCAGGGGATGGAATCCAGGGCTCTGTACATGGGAGACGGAGCTCGATCCTAAGCCACATCCAGCCTGATGATTCTTTTTTATTTTGGGTTTTTGTGCTTTTGTTTTAGTCTGATTTATTTTTGGTACTAGAGATCAAGCTCAGCACCTTCTGCTTGCTAGGCCGGCACTCATGCCACTGAGCTATTGCCCAGCCCCAGCAATTCTTTTTTAAAAGGCATTTGGTCAGTGTTCACACCTACCACTTCTGCATCTGAGCAGCCAACCAGCTGTGAAAGGAAACGATCACTCAGGAGAATCTTGGGTCTGTAGGGAGCAAACATGGGCTTCTTCCATTACACAGCACCAGGTGTGCCTCATGTCCAGGCCTTCACACTGGGCCGGATTCCCAGCCCTATTTTGTGTTTTGCAAGGGTCTAAGTTACCCACCCTGAAATCGAACTTGATGTTTTCCTGACTCAGCCTCCCAGAGCTCCAGGGTGACAGGTGTGCAACCCCATTTATCTGGCACCCTAAATCATTTAGAGATCATTTAAAGACAGGAAGGTGTGCATGGGCTCTGTACAAATCCTATCCCACTGTGTAAGTTTTGATCCCCACCGGTGTGAGGGGTGTCCAGAAGCTATTCTGAATTTCCCCAGCATTTTTCCAGCAGGTGTTCCTGTCACTGGGGACACACAGTGTGTATGGCTTTGTAGGTTTGCTTGGCTGGTGTTCTGCCTTTGTCCACTCTGGTCACCCAATGTGGGATTTTAAGGAGCAGTGAATCTGTCCCCATGCACCCTGGGGCTGAAGCACCCCTCAAGCCAGAGGGCTAGATGACAAAATTGCCAAGGCACCCTCCCCCTGGGAGCTGAGGTCATGGGGTGCTGCCTCCTGGCTCAGGTCCCTCCTACAGACTCACTGGGGTCCCCCTCACATAACCTAGGGTGCCTCTGGGGACCAAGCCATACTTCCTCCCCTTCTGTCCCTGGGTCAGTCCTGCACCTACCTGTCCTACAATCTGCTTCAGGCTTTGCCATTTGCAGGTCTTCCCAGTGAACCACAATCCCAGCCCTTTTGGGGTTTTGCGAAAAGGTCTCAGTAAACGGCCCCTCCTTAGCCACCAAGCAGCAGCCCAGGCAACGATCTCCACCATGCTGGGAGGAGGGTTGCAGGAGGTATGTAGCAACAAGCAAAATGACAGACATCAGTGAAAACCAACCAGAAACATTTAATACAAAAATATGCAGGTCCCCACGTTGGCCATCCCACCATCCCCACTCTGACGTTCAATCTGCTGGAAGGCACAACCACCCACCCAGACAGGCCCAGCACCCAGTGGAGGTAAGGCTGGAGCCGCAGCCCGGTGTAGCCACCCCCAAGGCCTCACACACTGCCCCAGAAGGCTGAGGACAGGACGCTGCCAAGAGGCAGAGACCACCCCTGAGAGGAGGGCCGGGGCATCTGTGAGGGAGGGGAGGCACAGGCTGCCCATCCGCACCCTGCTCAGCACCACGCTCGGCAGACACCGGCACACGGATGGGGTGGGCCTGCATTCCCACAGGGACAGCTGGTCACCTGGGCACCGCTGGGCGGCAGTGCAGGCTGAGCTTGGGCTGCGCTCATCAACCGGCCTGGCACACACTGAGTGAGCACAGCGCCACACGTGCACCCACCCTGCTGCCAAGGCAAAGGGGGCACTCGGCAAGCGGAACGTATGAAGAACTTCTCCATCATAAGCACCGGGCACACAGAAGGTGCTGGATCAGTTTCAGAAAGCAAATGAAAGCGTGTTCTCTCATATTTCTCAGAGCCTAAGATGGCGCCCCCCAAGCAGCACTTAATAAATACTTGGTAGATGTTACATATAACTCTGCATCCGCAATGCTGTTAACCCAATCGATAAATGCTTCAGGATCCGATCGATTCCTGGGAAAACCACTCATGGCCCAGGCCGCGGCGCCCTGCATCCAGTGGGCGCCCGTGAGCACAAATGCACCTGGAGCGAGTGACTGCTGGGTGACAGCAGGCAGGACAGAGCAGCCCTGGTAGGGAGCCCCAGGAGCCAGGGCACACCCTGTTGTGCCGCAGGCAGGCGCTGCAAGCCTCAGAGCTCGTCGCGAGCAGCGCTGTCCAGTGGCGACTGCAGCACGTCTGAGTTCTTGGCCTCCCGGCTCAGCGCCTGCTGCTGCCGCATCTTCTGTGACTTGGCGCGGTCCCAGTCTGTCTTCACCAGCTCATTGTTCCACACGACTGAGGTCTCTGTGTCACTCACGTAGCCGTCATCCCCCGTGTAGTGCGTGGGGTAGATGAGCAGTGGCTCCACGGAGAAGGCACGAAGGTCGCGGGGGGAAAAGTGGGCCTTGTACTCAGACCTAGGGGACAGGGGCAGGGTGGGCACAGGGCTGGGGGCGGAGGAGGAGGACTGGGACGGGAGCTGGGGGCCCAGGTAAGCCCGCTGGAGCCCACAGCGCGCCCACCCGGAGCAGAGCAGGGGCCCAGCTACATACATGGGGTGCTTGTCGAACATAACTGGCAGGAACTCGTCTACTGGCAGCATCTTGGCCAGCGGCTTGGCAGCCAGCAGTTTGCGGGCGCCTTGGAGAGAGATGACGTAGGCCAGCGTCCAGTATGAGTAGTCGGCCTCCACTAGGTTCCGCACGCGGGGTACAGCCTTCTCGGGGTGCTCCACCTGCATCCGCTTCCGGCCCACGTAGCTGGGGTGCAGAGCCAGGGTGCTCTCAGGCTCCCTCCACCCTCAAGAGTCCCCAGGAAAGCCCAGGGCTGGTGAAGTAGGGCCACAGAGCTCCGGGGTGCAGAGGGGATGGGGAGCGTTTCCCAAGGGTACCTGAGCTGTGGGAGGTGGAAGGCCAGGCCTGGAAGGGCGGGCTAAGACTGCTCTGGAGGGAGACCAGCCCACTGCAGGAGGTCACACCTCTGAAGATGCACCCCCAGCTCTGCACGTGCCCACATCCCAGGTACACCCACCAGCTCCCGGTCGCCTCGGCCACGCCCCCTCAGGCTCCATGGGTCTCCACTTTCCACGAAGTAGGCCTAGACCTCCCTGGCCAGGCCCCCGCCCACCCCTGACAGGCTTCCCCACTCCCCCACACAGTGCCAGCCCGGGCCCAACTGTGTCTGCCACACCTACCCACTAACCACGCCCAGAGCTATAGGATGGCCACGCCTCCAGGCGCCAGCGCAAACTGCAGCAGCCCCGGCCACGCCCACAGGGCCCCAGCCATCCTTCCCATCACAGGCCGCGCCCACTTACATGAGGTCCCAGTCCAGCCCCTCTCTCTCCACGTCTCCCATGAGGTTCATCAGGCGCCGCTTGAAGAAGATCTCGAAACGCAGGTCATCCTCAAACACCAGCGACTTCTGCAATCCCTGCTCCACGATCTGTGGGGGGGAAGGACCCCGGCCCCTGAGACCAGGCCCGGCAGCCCCAGCCTCCCCACTGGCCAGGATGGCGGTCCTGCTTCACCTGGGGGGTGCCGGCCCACCCCTCCAACGGCCTGTTTTCCCTGTGACCAGCGGCAGGCTCCCTAGAGCCCACCTCGGTCCAGACGTGGTAATGGCTCAGGAAGCAGCCCAGCTCGCCCTTGGTGAGCGGCCGTCCATGGTAGGGGTCCCGGTAGCCTGGCAGCATCTGGATGCCCAGCGCCTCCACCTGGCTGCTGTTCATGGCCCTGCAGGCGTGGGCACGGGTGTGAGCAGCAGGGCCGCGCCCAGGTCCCCCGCGGCGCCCCCCCCCCGCCCAGCCGGACTCACGTGCCGTCCACGGCCTCCACCAGCCGGGCCTCAATCTCCTGCTCCTGAAGTGCTCGCAGCATGCGGGCCCGCCGGTCCTGGCGCCGCTTCAGGTTGATCATGAAGACCTGGGCAGAGCTCCGTGGGTCCCGGCTCCCACCGCCCTGCTCCCGCCGTGCCCGCGCCCACCACACCCCAGTGTGCTGCCCACCTCATCGAAGCCCATCTTGTCAGGAGTCCTGGTGGGCGCCGCAAGGAACCTCGAGGTCTCCACGGGCGGGTGCTTCACTGCGGGCAGAGAAGCCAGCCTCTAGCCAGGCTTTTCCCACCCCTCCACTCGTGGGCTGCCCCAGCTCACGCTGCCCCAGGACCTTGGCACATACTGGGTTCCTCCCTCCCCACTCAGATCTCTCCCACCAGGGCCGTAAGCAGGCCTGCTCCTGGCTCCGAGGCCTCTCTGGGCCCTTGGGGGGGGGCAGGGTCTGACCACCCACTGCACAAGAGCCCACCAGAGGGCCGAGTCTAGCAGGGCTAGGGGAGGGAACCCATACCCAAAAGGGGCCAGGCTGTGTGGGCAACAACCAGCCCACAGGAACTGCCAAACAAAAGTCTCAGCAGCATGGGGATTCAAACTCTGGGCATCCAATACACAGTGCCATCCTCAGCCCTTGCTGATTTCTTATTCTGAGACAGAGTCTTGCTAAGTTAGTAAATTCCCCAGGCTGGCCTCAAGGATGCTATCCTCCTGCCTCAGCCTCCTGGGTCCTGGCATAACAGATGTGTGCTGCCAGGCTTGCTAAGAGTGTGAGTTTTTACCAGCAACATGAATCTTCTCATCAGAAGTAACAGAAAGAGGCTGGGCATAGTGGCACACACCTGTCATCCCAGCTCGGGAGGGTGAGGTGTGCCTATACTACATAGCAAGACCCTATTTCAAAATAGAAGAGCCCTGGGGCAGACATGGTAACACTATGGGCCTCTTGCCACTGTTCAGTACCGTCCAGCACGGGGTCAGGCTCAGGGTTCGCTTGGGACTGGAGCTGAGGTTAGGGTTTATGGATTAGGGTTGGAGTTGATGGCACTGCCCCTGCTGCTGACTCCGGATGTCACTGCCAGAGCTCGGCACCGGTGCAGTTCCACCTGCAGCCACCAGAGACAGTTTAAGGGCCTAGACCCCGGGGGGAGGTGGACTCACCCATCACTTCCAGCTGGACGTGCAAGAAGCTCTCGGCCTCATCCTGTAGCGAGCTGTGCGACCGCAGAGGCACGGGAAGGAAGCCATACACCTCCTTGTTGCACACGTACATCTGCACCTCTGCAGCAGGCCCAAGAGGGACCCGGGATGGGAGGGTGGGTCAGGGCAAAGCCAGGCACTCAGGAGGCTGAGGCAGGAGGGTCTCAAGGGCAAGCCCAGTCTGGACAATTTACTGAGACACTATTCAAAATTGAAAGGGGCTGGGGGTGTGGCTCAGTGCAAATACCCAGACTTTAACCCCTAGTGCCATAATAAGTTTTTATTTATTCATTTATTTATTGTCTTTTTTGAGACAGGATCTTGCTATGCAGTTCAGGCTGGTCTTGAGCTTACTTTGTAGACCAGCTGGTCTCAAACTCTCAATGATCCTCCTGCCTCAGCCTCCCAAGTGCTGGGATTACAGGCATGTGCCACCATGCCTAGCCATAGGAAATTTTTAAAAAGAGTAAAACAAACCCTGCTGCAACAGACAAAGTGACCCTGAAACAGATGGCCTTGTAGGACAGAAGACGGGGGACACTGCTGCCTTCTGCAGCAGTCCTTGCACAGGTGCCTTACGTCTGGGTTAGTCTGTGTCTATTGTTTGTTTCCGTCTTGGAACCAAGGTTCTGCTGAGTTGTTTAGGCTGGCCTAGAACTTGAGATCATCCTGCCTCAGCCTTCTGAGGAGCGGGGACTCCAGACATGTCCCATCCTGCTGGACTTAGGAGCAGAAATCTGAGCTGCAGAAACTGTTCGCATGCCACAAAATACTGTCGGCCTTCCTCTGAGGGGTCCTGGGCCTTTGGGCTGCCTGTTCACAGCTCTTTAAAACACACCGGCTGGGACTGGGGAGATGGCTCAAGAGAATAAGCACTTCCCTGGCAATCACAAGTGCCTGAGTTCAATCACTGGTTCCGCAAAAAGAAAAATCAACAACAAAAAAAGAATAACACACCGGCTGCTGGGCGTGTGAGCTCTTTCGCTGCAAAGCCCGTTCCAGCCTGGTCCACAGCCTCCAGCAGGGAAAATCCCTGACTTCGACATACTTTTTACTACATATAGTTACAGTTCTTCCATCTTAAGGCTGTTGCCCTTAATTTCTTGCCAAAACTAATTTACAAATTTTAATGTAGTTAGTACAGTGCCTACAGAGTCTCACTACACAGATCAGACTTGTACTGATACTTCCTGTTTTTCAGCCTCCCAAGTGCTGACATTACAGGCTGACACTACACCCCTCAATCGCCTCTCAGGGCTCCGGGGCGGGGGCAGGGCCCGCACACAAGGTCAGGGATCAAACCCGTGGCGCCTAAGCATCTGTCTAAGCAGGCACTTTAACCCACTGAGCTATCTGGCCAACCACTACAAATCTTTATTGTGGGCAGCATTCGGGGAACCCCCAGACCCAGTCCTAGCCCAGGCCCGGTAAGTGTGTGGGAAAGCTTCCGGCTACCCTGCACCGGAAGGACCTACTGGTCCCAGCCCAAGCGCAGAGTGGGTCAGACCCTCTTCCACCCACTTGGGACACCCCCCACCACTCCGCAGTACCTCCCCCACCCCTCTCTCAGAGTAGGAATTTCTGTTGCCTTCCAGGAACCCCCAGATAGAGTCCTAGCCCAGGTCCAGTAAGTGTGTGGGAGGGCTGCCTCTCCCCCCTACTCCACCTTGCCCCCTCCAGACTCACCTCAGGACTGGCATAAGGGCTGGAGTGAAACCCTGCAGCTGCAATCTCTGCAGAGAGTGTAGGGGACAGAACCACCAAGCTAGCCCAGGAGCAGAACATCTTGCAGAGGGGCACAACAGGTTCACCCCCAAAGGCAGCAAAGGATGGAGCTGAGCACAGCAGCCAGACCCAAGCCAGGCAGAGCTGGATAAATCCAAACTTTGTAGATCTACACCTGAACTTTAGGAGGTGCTAAGGTTATAACTGCACCAAAGATCTACAACAAAGGTTAGAAGACAGTGCTACACACAATGACGAGAAGGAACAAAATGCAATCTCAGAACTCAAGCTCACCCATAACAATTGCAGAGGACACTAACACAGAACAAACGGAATCATACAGCTGAAAGCAATGAATCAACGGCTTCTGAAATAAAGAAACAGCTGCAGAAAGGTATAGAGGAACTCAGATTGGAAATAAAAAAAGAAATCCCTGAATTAATAACATCTTCAGTAAAGAATCAAATGCTGAAACATATGGAGGAAACCCAGTGCCCACCCAGGAAAAGTGCAGAGGACACTAGCTCGCCTCAAATGCATGACTTAAGAGGGTTGACAATAAATAAGCAACAGCACAAAGTTATAGAGGAACTCAGAAAGCAATTATTTTCTGAAATAAAAAAAGAATTCTCAGAACTCATAGCATCTGAAGTAAAGAAGCAACTACAGAAACATAGGGAGGAAACCCAATCTGAAAACAACACTGCAGTAAAAGAATTTATAACTGCTTCGAAAGAAGACATTGAGAAAAAAATAGAGGAGATTAGAAAAATGACGGATTCCTTGAATGAGCAATACAGGAAAGAAATAGATCGCATGAAGCACAGTCAAAGAGATATAGAGGAAATGAAAACCTCAATCACGAGCTTACAAAACCGTTTAAGTGAACGTGAAGACAGTTTCATATCTTGAAGATGCTGGTGGAGCTAGTGAAAAGGTAAGAAAGGATCTCTTAAAAACAACGAGGATGCAGGAAAGAATAAT